TAAACAAATTACTGCACTCTATTATGCCGTTGGCAACAGGCTTACACTGGGATATGCATGGTTGCCAGACACACTATACCAAAGATATAAGATAAGTAAAACATATTTTATAAGTACATAACAAAGCAGAAAGACCCGTAGTTACTTATATTAACATGCAAATAGTGTACAGTATAAGATATACAGATTTACTGTACAGTAAACAAATTAATTCACTCTATTATGCTGTTGGCAACAGGCTTACACTGGGACATGCATGGTGGCCAGGGTTGCCAGATAAAGCGGATGTTTTTATTTTCAAATGTATGGTACATTTTAAGATATATATCTTACAAGATGGTAGTATATACTGTAATTTAAATAAAAATGTACTTCATCATTAAGATACTTGAAATAACTTACCAGCTTACATGCATATTTTTTATATATATCATTTCTCTCATTCATCTATTCTGGCAACAATGACGGTGGTGGTGAGGATGAGGATGGATACGTTTTGTCACACTTCCATATCAGCTCATGCACCCTCACACGTTATTTCCCTGACGATATTATACTGAAAATATGTTTGCTGTTTGTTCTTAATGCTTTTTTCAATTTTCTTCATAATATCCGATCGCATTATGCAGTAGAAGAGGAGTAGGATGATTTTTTTTTTTTTTGGAATTTTTTTGCATGGGCGTTATTCGCGAATTTTGAATTTTTTTACTATTATTTCTTAGGGGCGTTATTGCAATTTTGCTGGTAAAAAAACGAGGAAAAAAGGAACAAGGTGTGTGTATATATATATATATATATATATATATATATATATATATATATATATAATATATATATATATATATATATATATATATATATATATATATATATATATATATATATATATATATATATATATATATATATATATATATATATATATATATATATATATATATATATATATATAGTTGGTTGCACCTTGACACAGTCATTATGTGTCCTAGGTTCGAGTCAAGTCGGGATAAAATATTATTCTGTTTTCACATATGGTAATGTGCTTATTTGATTATTGTTGATCCCTTACTAGATTGAGATTTGAATTAAATGTGAAAATGAAGCCACAAGTGAGGTTGGGGAAAGTAGTATAGCAGTTTAAGCTGTAAGGTTTGTTTCCCTTTTAACCTTCTATGGCATAGTTGGCAGCGCCTTGGCACGTAATTATGTGCCCAAGGTTCTAGTCAAAGTCGAAGTTAAATATGATTCATGTTTTTACATATGGTAATTGTGAGAGTGTTTCGCTCAAAGTCACCAGAGGCTGTTAGATGCCTTATTAAGTAATTTAGTAACTTAACTGTCATATTTCTAACAAAAAAAATAATTCCCACTTCTTGACTTTTGCAGATTATGATTATTTGCAATTTATATTTTAGGTTATAGCTACTTTTAAATATACCTTATTTACTCTTCTTGTACGTGTAGAAGTATAGTCCCGATATAAAGGCTGCTCCTATTTTCCGTCTCCTACGAGCAAAGAACGTTCTGGAGATTGTTTACCAGTAACCTAACTTTTCATTATTATTCTCGTTTTATTTTATTTGCTTCCACTTGTTGCACCTAAAAATACTGTCTCTCCCTTGCATCTCTGCTATAATTGCCTGCCAGGGACCACCACTAAAATAGTCCTTAAATGATATCAGAGCCAGTTACTGCTCTAGAAATGTATCCTACAGATGAACTCACCAGGAGGGACAATGAGGCGTCCTCTTTTGGTGCCGAGACTGCCCAGAGGCAACATCTCGCCTGAGCAGTCTAAGTTTATTTCAAACCTTATTGACGTGGCATCTTCACAGGAATTCATCTGGCACAACAAGGTGAGGGATAGTGTATGGTAAAGCTCGTGGGTCAAGCAAATTGGTTTTTCAAGAATTAGTTACATTCGTTACTGGCTAAATCTTACGAATTTTATTCTCAGATTCCATTCCCATACAAACGAAATTTTGTAGATTACCTGACTGGAATCTCACTTGCCAAAGTTAATTCCTTAACCTGGAAATTACAGCTGATATACATTGCTAAGAAGTTTCTTTTCATTGAATGTGATAAACGAAAATCTCATCCTCTGAAGACTGGTTATGAGCCCGTAAAAATCTATCCCTTTTCCTAATAAATTCTAATTTCATTTCACCTCTTTCTATCATCGTAAATAAAGTGTTTTACGTCAAAAACTCGTCAATAAAGCTATTTGCTATATAAACTGCAAATAATTAATCATTTAGCTAAAGCGTTTTATGCTATAAACTGCAAATAATTGAAAGGTAATTTTACCCTGTTGGCTTTGCAAATATTTCCTGTTAACCACAATTTAATGAATGCATACTGTATCTATCTTGCTAATTCTTCATATGTTGGGGATAAAGTGTTTAGAGTTATAAGTTGCAAATACCTCAAAAGGTGGTTTTGCACCCTTATTTTTTATTGCAAACAGTTCTTGATAACCAAAAGTGAATGAATACTGTATTTATCTCATAGATTCTTCCTTTATCCTAAATAGAGTGTTTTACCATATTAATTGTAAATCAGTAATAAGCATTGCAACTTTTGTGGTTGCCCACAATTTAAGGAATACATACAGTACTGTATTTGTCTTGCTTATTCTTCATTTATTTTGAATAAATTGTTTTCCTTTAAAACCAGTAAAGAATTAATGGTTTTGTATGCTATTATGGTAGCATAAATATTTCTGGTCAGCTGTGAATAACCAATATATTTTCATCCAGTAGAATGACATTGGAAACTCATTATATGTGTGCTCATGCTTTCAGTTTCCCATTATAAACAGTGTGTCATTTCTGTTTCTGAAATTGCAGTGTCCTGTATTCTACTTTGCCTGTGTGACAGAGGTAATCGTCAAGTTGAGACCAAAGTCTTGGCATACGTCCGTGGTGCCGGGAAACGAAATCGTGCTCACCACCTCTGGGATTCAAGGCAGCATTTCATAAAATTTAATTAGAAAATTCAATTCTTTTAATGTCATTGCATTTCCAAAATTAAAAGAAAGTTGAATTCTGAGTTTCATTTAACCGACTAATGGTAAAAGAGATGGGGTGTTCAAGTACAAATATCTGTCCTGTCTGTTTGTGAGCTCTTAACCGAGCTCGGTACTTTGAGTCCCCTTAGTAAAACAGAATCTTAACAACACTCAACCATCCTAACCCCAACAGTAATGTGCTTAATTAATTACTGTTGATCCCTTATTAGAGTGAGAACTGAATTAAATGCAAAAACTAAGCCACAATAGGTTAGGGAAAACTTTAATATGAACAGAGTGGCATTAATTCCTAGTATAGCAGCTAAAGCTGTAAGGTTTGTTTTTTTAATCTTTTGTGGTGTACTTGGTAGCACCTTGCTCCAGTAGTCATGTGTCCTAGGTTTGAGTCCCAATCGGGGTAAAATATGATTCATGTTTTCACATAAGGTAATGTGCTTATTTGATTATTGTTGATCCCTTATTAGATTGAAACTTGAATTAAATGCAAAAACGAAGCCACGAGTGAGGTTGTGGGAAACTGTAATATGAACAGAGTGGCATTTAGATAGAATGCGTTCATTCCTAGTATTGCAGTTAAAGCTGTATTATTTGTTTCCCTTTTAACCTTCTGTGGTGTAGTTGGTAGCACCTTGGCACAAGAATAATGTGTTCTAGTTCGAGTCCCAGTCGGGGTAAAATATAATTCATGTTTTCACATATGGTAATGTGATTATTTGATTATTGTTGATCTCTTTATTAGATTGAGATATGAATTAAATGCAAAAACAAAGCCACAAGTAAAGTTGGGGGAAGCAGTAATATGAACAAAGTGGCATTCAGATAGAATGCGTTCATTCCTAGTATAGCAGTAAAAAGCTGAAAGGTTTGTTTCCATTTAAACCTCTGTGGTGTAGTTGGTAGCGCCTTGGCACATTAATTATGTGTCCTAGGTTCGAGTCCCAGTCAGGATAAAATATGATTCTTGTTTTCATATTTGGTAATGTGCTTATTTGATTATTGTTGATTCCTCATTAGATGGAGATTTGAAAAAAATGTGCAAACGAAGCCACTAGTGAGGTTGCGGGAAACTGTAATGTGAAAAGAGTATCCTTCTGATAGAATGCGTTCATTCCCAGTATAGCAGTTAAAGCTGTCAGGTTTGTTTCCCTTTTAACCTTCTGTGGTGTAGTTGGCAGTGCCTTGACACAGTAATTATGTGTCCTAGGTTCGAGTCCTAGTAGGCATAAAATATGATTTATGTTTTCTCATATGGTAATGTGCTTATTTGATCATTGTTGGTCCATTATTAGATTGATATTTGAATTAAATGCGAAAAAGAAGCCACGAGTGAGGTTGGTGAAAACTGTACTATGAACAGAGTGGCATTCAGATAGAATGCGTTCATTCCTAGTATAGCAGTTATAGCTGTAAGGTTTGTTCCCCTTTTAACCTTCAGTGGGTAGTTAGTATCACTTTGGCAGAGTAATTATGTGTCCTAAGTTCAAGTCCCAGTCGGGGTGAAAAATTATTCACGTTTTCACATATGATAATGTGCTAATTTGATTACTGTTGATCCCTTATTAGACTGAAACTTGAATTAAATGCCACGAGTGCAGTTATGGGACACAGTAATATGAACAGAGTGGCATTTAGATAGAATGCGTTCATTCTTAGTATAGCAGTTAATGCTGTATGGTTTGTTTCCCCTTTTAACCCTCTGTGGTGTAGTTGGTAGCACCTTGGCACCAGAATTATGTGTCCTAAGTTCGAGTCCCAGTCGGGGTAAAATATAATTCATATTTTCACATATGGTAATGTGATTATTTGATTATTGTTGATCTCTTATTAGATTGAGATTTGAATTAAATGCGAAAACAAAGCCACAAGTGAGGTTGGGGGAAACTGTAATATGAACAGAGTGGCATTCAGATAGAATGAGTTCAATCCTAGCATAACAGTTAAAGCTATAAGGTTTGTTTCCATTTTAACCTTCTATGGTGTAGTTGGTAGCGCCTTGGTACAGTAATTATGTGTCCTAGGTTTGAGTCCTAGTTGAGGTAAAATATGGTAATGTGCTTATTTGATGTTGTTGATCCCTTATTAGATTGAGATTTGAATTAATGCGAAAATGAAGTCACAAGTGAGGTTGGGGGAAACTATAATATGATCAGAGTGAGGTTGGGGGAAACTGTAATATGAACAGAGTGGCATTCAGATAGAATGCACTCATTCCTAGTATAGCAGTTGAAGCTGTAAGGTTTGTTTCCCTTTTAATCTTCTGTGGTGGAAGCGCCTTGACACAGTAGTTATGTGTCCTAGGTTTGAGTCCCAGTCGGGGTAAAATATGATTCATGTTTTCACATGTGGTAATGTGTTATTTGATTATATATATATATATATATATATATATATATATATATATATATATATATATATATATATATATATCTATATATATATATATATATATATATATATATATATATATATATATATATATATATATATATATATATATATATATATATATATATATATATATATATATATATATATATATATATATATATATATATATAATATATATATATATTATATATATATATATATATATATATATAGATATATATATATATATATATATATATATATATATATATATATATATATTCCACACGGATGCACTGTATAAATAGGTGCATATCTCTAACACCTGAATCACCAGACCTGACAAGTGTACACATAATTATTAAACAAAAAATTTTGTTCCTTTTTTTTTGTAATACTCGTTACCAATTTGATATTACGAAATTTATATAACTACCTCAAACTAGTTTTGTTATTTGGTATTGGATCATAATGCTATGTGTTGGCACATGTACCGACTAAATACCTACCATACAGCTAGGGCCAAAACCCTCGTACATTCACGTGGACACAATAACTTTAAAAGCAGTAATCAGGTAGATCAATAGGAAATCATCAACCCCCCAAGTAACTGCCCAATTTAATCGGTTGGTATCAACATGAGACTGTGAAAGTTCACCCGACCCTGGGTCAGGATCGAACCTGCGGCCAGTATTTTAGCAGCCCCAGACGCTACCACTGTGCCTCAATAAATGAAATTAAGTTTCAAAGAAGTGTTCTGGAGATTAACCTTATTGAGAAATAAATACAAAGACCAACCTTATGATGCAATATTTGGTAGCCATTTAGGCTGAAGAGTCATGACTGGAACAGTACTCTAAGTACCTCAGATTAAATGATCTGGTTTTACGTCGCAGACTCCCTTTTCTAGTAAGGGCTAGGATGGCGCCTTCTTACGAAGGACTTTGGTTTTTGCAGAGTTCAGCCGTTACCCCGAGTGCTCTTTCTAACTTCAGATCGTGGCGGGTGTCTGGAACCAATGACCTGACAAATCAGTCATATATGCTACCACCCAGACACGGTGGCCAATTCACAACCTCAAATGTTGATTAGTTAAGAAAAATATTACAGAACCTAAAATAAATGAAACGGACTATACATTTTAGTGCTTAAGGCATATATATATATATATATATATATATATATATATATATATATATATATACCCTGAGGGAGAGGGCTAGAATACTTCCTCCATGTCCCCCTGCGTGTCGTAGGAGTCGACTGAATGGGGCGGAGCGAGGGGACTGGGAATCTCCTCCTCTGTATTTTCTCATCTCAAAGAGTCAGAGTATTTTGTCTTAACTCAGCCACTCACCTTATAAGGGGAAAATGGAACAAGTGTATATATATATATATATATATATATATATATATATATATATATATATATATATATATATATATCCAAATAAGCACATTACATATGTGAAAACATGCATAATTTTTACCCCGACAGGTTTCAAGTCCCGGTCGGGGTAAAAATGATTCGTATATATATATATATATATATATATATATATATATATATATATATATATATATATATATATATATATATATATATATATATATATATATATATATATATATATATATATATATATATATATAAGCTATAAGGTTGGAATCCTTTTAACCTTCTGTGGTGTAGTGGTAGCACCTTGACTTAGTAATCATAAGTCCTAGGTTCGAGTCCCGGTCGGGGTAAAAAATGATTCATGTTTTCACATATGTAATATGCTTAATTGGTTATTTCATGGCCCGAATGAGATTGGGAATTGAATTAAATGCTTAAATGAAGCCACGAGTGAGGTTGGGGAATCTGTAATATGAACATAGTGGCATTCAGTTAGAATGCGTTCATTCCTAAGTATAGCAGATATAAGCTATAAGGTTGGATTCCTTTTAACCTTCTGTGGTGTGGTGGTAGCGCCTTGACTTAGTAATCATAATCCTAGGTTCGAGTCCCGGTCGGGGTAAAAAATGATTCATATATATATATATATATATATATATATATATATATATATATATATATATATATATATATATAGTTATATATATATATATATATATATCCAAGTTTATATATATATATATATATATATATATATATATATATATATATATATATATATATATATATATATATATATATATATATATATATATATAGTCCAAGTTTATATATATATATATATATATATATATATATATATATATATATATATATATATATATATATATATATATATATATATATATATATATCCCCTTCATATCTCTCAAGTCACAACACTCCAAATCTGATTCTCTTAGCTTTCTCTCATTATTATTGGGTCTCCATTATCTTGACGATCCTTTCAGCTTCTTTTTCCTGTAACTATTCCGATATCAACAAAGAGTTTAATAAGTAACCAATACGAACGCAATCGCTCCTCTCGTTTCATCAACACATGAACAGAATCGAACACAAAACAATCTAGTGTCACGGCATGACTAATTCCTAATGTAATATAGGGAAAGACATTTACCGCTTAAGTTATATTACGGGGCCTTAAAATCCACGAAATGACTACGTCGGAAAGCGCACTTCCACCTCTGAGCAAGAACAACGTGATAATAAACTCGAGAATGAGTGGAAGGAGTCCGTTATCAACTTAAGTAATACATTGTGGTGCTCATCTGTAGGCAACATCGTACCCTACCCTGCCACGAAGCCAAAAACACGCTCACACACATACTACAATTAACCAGGTGCAGTGATCCACTCTTTATCACTCTGTCGATCACCGTACTGCCTACCCTCATTTTTTCCAAACACCAGTTATTCCGTCTCTCTCCCTTCTAGTACACTCTGCATTATTATCACATCAACCAGCCTGATAAGTAAAGTCTCGCTTATGTCAGGTGATCTCTTTTTTTTACGAATCTTGTAAGCTTAACTACCTACCCAAGCACCCTTATATCATCACAACAAATCCTTTGCTTTTTCGGCCTTCATTGAACTTTCTTGCCACTGTTGCAAACTGTTTGTAAGCTGTTCGTCAGTTCAGTATAGGTAAGTTTTTCTTTTATATATATATATATATATATATATATATATATATATATATATATATATATATATATATATATATATATATATATATATATATATATATATATATATATATATATATATATATATATATATATATATATATGAATCATATTTTACCCCTGCCCGGGACTCGAACGTAGGACACATTATTACTGTGCAAAGAAATTATATATATATATATATATATATATATATATATATATATATATATATATATATATATATATATATATATATATATATATATATATATATATATATATATATATATATATATATATATATATATAATGTTATTACTATTAAAATATAAAAAGGCGCATACGGGTGTGTGTAAAAAATGCTTGGGGAGTAAACATTGCCAGAAAATCCGAAGGAAGAGACCCGAAGGCTGTTGATGGGAAAGAAACCTTCCTCTGGGATCTATCGCAAGGACGCCGGATTTTCAAACGTACAGATTTTTGTCTTCCCTATGGAGCTAATGAGCAGCGTCACGAGGAGGAAGTGCAAAGTGGGCTAGGCACTTTCTAATCTTTGGGCTAGGAATGCTCCAAAGTTTCCAGCTACTTTAAGCGTCTGTTAAGAGAGACGAAGAGAGCCTTACATAAAAATATCACAAAAAGATCAATACCATTAGGAACTTCATGGAAATAAACACCAAGTTCTAAATAAAAACGTAACTGCTTAAATACTGCCAAATTATAACCTAAAATGCGAAGTATAACTCATCTGGAGAAATAAAATTGAAGCATTACTCATATGCAAAAGAAATCAAATAAAATTTAAGCATTATTCACATACAAAAGAGGCCGAATAAAATCTAAGCATGCCTCATATATAAAAGAAGCCAAGTCGTTATTTTTACTGTTTGAGTAAATATGAGACCACAATATATCCAAACAGTTCTTGCATATATATATATATATATATATATATATATATATATATATATATATATATATATATATATATATATATATATATATATCGTATACACCACATGGATATTACAATATCTTAAAAAAAAAGCGTCATTATTGAAATTAGCTCTATAATAAAAAAATATTTTGAAAGTTAACTATTACTACTACCAGCAACATTACTAGTGCTGCTGCTGCTGCTACTAGTACCCTACTGTTAATAATAATAATAATAATAATAATAATAATAATAATAATAATAATAATAATAATAATAATAATAATAATAATAATAATAATACATAAAGCAGCCTCTCAACAGATTTCGCATGGTGGATAAAATGAAAAAAACTCACAAGTGTGATTACCTAATTGTGTTTACGGGAAAGAGCCCAAAGCTCGTGTGTGTGTGTGTGTGTGTGTGTGTGTGTGTGTGTGTGTGTGTGTGTGTGTGTGTGTGTGTGTGTGTGTGTGTGTGTGTGTGTGTGTGTGCAGCCTACTTACTTAAAAGGACTTTAGACTAAGTTCACACCTTTTTTTTTTTCATACGCATTTCCACGAACTTTTTGAAACTCTTTGAGTAAACATCTTTGCATACACCTTTTTC